GCTGCACAGTTTGTGTGGTCATCCTCCAGTCCTTCATCAGTGGTCACAGGACGCTGTTGGCTGGATTTTTGGTTGGTGGACTATTCTCAGTCCAGCAGTGACACTGAGGTGTTTAAAAACTCCACCAGCACTGCTGTGTCTGATCCACTCAGACCAGCACAACACACACTAACACACCACCACCACGTCAGGGTTACTGCAGTGCTGAGAATGACCCACCACCCAAATAGTACCTGCTCTGTGGGGGTCCATGGGGGTCCTGACCACTGAAGAACAGGGTAAAAGGGGGCTAACAAAGTATGGAGCTGATAAAATGGACAATGAGCGTAGAAACAAGGAGGCGGTCATAATGTTAGGCCAGGTTGGTGTATATCCATGTAGCGAGCCCTGATCTAACCCCATGGTCAGTCTGAAGGGGAAAACTGACCAAACACACCTTAAATTAGTCCAAAAGTCGCCCAGAAATTCAAGTGAACAAACGAGTCTGAAACAACTCTGTATGATTCAGTTTGAGTCTTTAATCAGGTCGCTGTAAGAAAAGGACAGTGTGATAGCTTATTTCAGGACAGTCACATGCGGACTATGTACAACAGCACTGTTTCTAGTCTAAATGTGCACTGAACAAGTCGGTAAGCTTCAGTATGAAGAGCAGCAGCATGAAACTGGAGCAAATCTACAGCATCGCTCCTGCCTAGCAACACTGCAATGCAGATTCATTCAAAACAGTGGAGGTTATGGTGTCTATTGTACAACGTAAGGCTGGGCGATATGACAATATATATCATTATCGTGATGAATTATGGCACAATATGCTTTTCTGAACATACTGTGTACTTAGAACACTGACCAACTACATGTTGTATTAATAAAAAAGCAAAATTTGTCCAGTTTAACTGGATTTAGTGTCAAATATTGAATAAAAATCATTGTGTTCACAGTTTTTGATAGTATTTTTTTAAATGTGGCACTACTGGTTCTTTTTATCTGCTTTGATCAGACGTCTGGAAAAAAGAATATCGTGATAATTTGTATATCGTGAAAAGTATCGCGATATTATATTTTTTCCGTATCGCCCACCCCTAGTACAACTTGACAATTCGCTTTTCTTTTTTCAGAAAAAATGCTTGAAATTGTGAGAGATGATAAACTTTAATTTAAAAAAAGCTACAGAAAATAAGACATTAGGAATCCCCTCATCCTCAAGACACTGTAATGCAAAGGAAAGAAAATCTAGTATATACAGCTTGGGGGGTACATTATTTCTTATTGTACATTATTTTATTACCTGCTCAAATTAAATAACATAAAATAGCCCATCGCATCGTCTTTGGACAGGATTTTGCTACTGCAACATTTTATATGTCCTACAATATAAATGTTAATAAATATCCGCATTCATTTCCATGATTTATAGAACTAAGTATCGTAAGCAGCATTTAGGCCTAATAAATTCTAGATTTCTTTAAATGTAGAAAAATAAACAAGAAAACTAGAAATTAAAATGAAATACATTTGTTGGCTTTTAAGGTACCTAAAATAAATAACAATAAAAAAATACAAAATAAGAGGAATGATCGAGTAGCTAACTATGGCATTTCAGATGTTCAAATCTGGTGAATATTAGTGTGACGTTATTAAAGAAAGCAGCTGTAAACAGTGGATAGAAAATACATACAGAATTTCGTCGAAATGACAGATACTGTACATTAAAAAAGACGACATACAATCGCGTTTCTTATTTTTTGTTGTAGTTTTTGGCGTCTGCTCAACACAAACCTACAGTACTTTACGTAATAGGAGATATCAGAGCACACCAGCGTTATAAACAATCATACGATAGTCGTACAGTGGGCGGGTGGAATATTATCATGCTGCAATATTGAACTATTCAAATTTTACAATGAAAATTTTTTTTTTTTTCTGATTTTAGAATTTGAAGAGAACTCTAAACTTGATCAAGTCAAAACTTGGTCAAGTATCATCAGTGTAATGTTGATTTGAGGCCTAAATTTTGAGCCGGATCTTCTTCTCATTGCAAAAAATAGTATCTTTCCAAGTGATATGATCTTGATTCTAGTCGATATATCTAATATTTCTTATTTTGAGATGGTTATGCACTTATTGTAAGATTATTTAGCTTATTTCTAGATATTTTTGACCTGTTTAAAGTAATTTTATTAAGTAAAATTCTCAAATTTCTTAAAAACAAGCAAAATTATTTGCCAATATAATTCAATAATTCTACTTATTAAAATCACTTAAAACAGGCAAAAATGTCTAGAAATAAGTTAAAAAAAGTTAAAAAAAAGTTTACAACAATCTGAATTGGAGAAATACTGGATATATTGACTAGATTTAAGATAATTTCACTGGACAAGATACTATTTTTTGCAGTGCTCGAGTCTGTTTGTGTGATGTTAACACGTAAAAATGCACTGCATGGTCTGAAAAACTCGCCCCGCTCCTCTGACTTTGATTATTTTAGGCTTTATAGGGCGACTCGCCACAGTGCACAAACTTTTTACAAAATTTTAATAAAAAAATCTGTCTGTAGTGCAGCTTTGAAGAAAGATTTGAACATTAATATTATATTATTATAAAAAAGATTGACATGTATTGTATTATATTTTCCACACTGGAATCTAAGATGTGTTTTGTGTGTGTTTGTTTTTGAAAATATGGTTTAGAATCTGCACATTTTATGCAGATTCATCTACAGCCCACCCCAGCCTCATGAACAAAAACACCATATACAGGATGAATTTCCATCCCATCAGTGTTGACAATTAACACTAATATAGTTACAATTGGAAAAGAAAAACAGACCAAATTTTCAGAATTTAACACAAAGTCCCAGGATCTAATCTGTGTAGCAGGCGCTGATCTAATGCCATTGTCAGTATGAAGGTGGACTAAATCAAAACTGACCAAAACTGACCCTACATTAGTCAAACAAGCAAATAATCCATGCAACAACTGCCCAGGTTTCTTTCATTGTGTCTGAAATTGAAAACTACATACTACACACTTATTCACTAAGATATGGTGTAATTACATAGAGTTAGTCCATCTACTCCTCTTTCTGAGTTTGTACACGGCCTCTAGAGCAGCTTAAAGGTCAATTCCACCTAATTTTCTGTGTGATTAAATGGTCAAGATGTAAATAAAGTCATTCAGAGCGGTTTGATGTGAAATGGTTTACAGTGGTGGTGACAGAATCCAGACGTCTGAGGAGTTGAATGCCTCTATACACATATATATATATATACACACATATGTATGTATGTATATCGCTGCTGTTGGAAGAAAACATCGTATCTCCATTTTTGTTGTTTTTCAGTTTTTGATGTAGTTTGAAAGTGCCTGTTGCCCTTTACATGGTGTGTAAATTTCACACTGGTGGTTCTGGATAGTAAATAAAATGTCTATATTTGTGTTGTAGTCATGGCGACCCCTGGTTCCTATCACCACCACTGTAAAGACATCTGAACCATTTCACACCAAACCACTCTGAATCACTCTGTTTACATCTCACACACTGAATTATGCAGAAATTTTGAAAAGTCGGTGGAGTTCCCCTTTGAAGTTCTAGTCTATTGACTCTTTTACACCTGTAGAGCGTTCTTCAACATGTCTAAAGCTTTCTTTCTCATTCTAACACACTAAAAGTCTCACACACTTCACCTCTCTCAGCCTTCTGTTAACAAAGCCCTTCGTCTTTACTGTGTTTCTTTAGTCAGAAGCTTTTACACTGACATTCTCTCATCCTCACTCTGCAAACCTGTTCTTTCTTAACCCATCAGGTAAGCAAGAACAGCTTTCTCTTTGGCTTTCTCTCTTTTTTCTCTGTCCTTCTAGATCAGATACGAAGACTTACACTTTAACCAGAGAGTTTTTTCTCTTCCTCCAGTAGACGTTACTGCAGTCGAGCTGCACGAATGAGTGACGAGGATTAGACATAATAACCATCCTCTCCGCGGACGCAGTCACGAGGGAGGGCGTCTGATCCTTTACAGCTGTTTGTCTGCATGTCTGGAGTTTGTCAAGAGCAGCTAAAACGTGGATAAACTCTGCTTTCTATCCTCCTCGGATCGAAATTCGGCTCAAGATACAACTTATTAATGCAACGACCAACCAGTACTTACAATTAGCAAAGTCTGTATGGCAACAGTGTGTCATAGCCTGTTCAGATCACGCCAACGATCCGCCTCATTTCTCAGCTGACGCGCTCCGGCTGTAGTTCCAGCCTAGCGGCTCGGCTCCTGCCGTTCGAAGTCCGTTTACGTCCATCAGCTTTTGACAGAGTTGCATGAACAACTGAGGTTCGGTCAGCCTTCCATCTCCGCTGACGTCCGAAGTCGTCTTGACTCCTCTCCATCTCCATGTAGAGTCCTTGAACACTTATGGTGAATAAAAGGTTCACCATGTTTTCAGAAGTTCACCATGTCCTGACCAGGAAGTGTGTATATTGATAGAGACTAAACTAAACTCAACATGTGAACCAACAGTGGGAGGAAACGACCCCAAGATTTCAGACAAAATTAGGCCTAATAGACTTCTGTTAATACCATTCTCCAGTAATCTAAAGCCCTATTGGAGCTGGATTAGTTTGATTTGGGGAGGTTCTGTAATGTAAGCAATTACCAATGAGATTAGAGATTTTAATCTCACTGCTGATTCATACTGGCTCAAACTGCTTAAGAGAAAGCGCTTGTAGTGTAAGTCTGATGGTAATAATTGTGGAGCGATTTTAATCCAGTATGAATCTGCAGTGTGTGTAGTTTTACAGTCTGACAGTAATAATTGTGGAGTGATTTTAATCCAGTATGAATCTGCAGTGTGTGTAGTTTTACAGTCTGACAGTAATAATTGTGGAGTGATTTTAATCCAGTATGAATCTGCAGTGTGTGTAGTTTTACAGTCTGACAGTAATAATTGTGGAGTGATTTTAATCCAGTATGAATCTGCAGTGTGTGTAGTTTTACAGTCTGACAGTAATAATTGTGGAGTGATTTTAATCCAGTATGAATCTGCAGTGTGTAGTTTTACAGTCTGACTGTAATAATTGCAGGTTATCTGTTAGTGGAAATTACACAGATACTGAACCAATCGGCCAGTTAAAAATGACGCTACACGACCTCCACTGGGTACCAATCCAGCTCCAACAGTACTTTAAACACCTAACGCTCGTCTGAGGTGAACATGTAAATGCTGAAAGAAACCTGTTCACTGTACAGATAAACACCAGCACCTCTTAAGATACTGTTAAAACGGAACCAGACACTTTTTCTCCTCGTCTTTTTTCTGGTTTAGTCCTCCCATTAGTGTCCTCCCATTTCTGATGTGGGGGCGGCGTGTCCATTTCCTGCTGTTTGCGCTTTTGCTTTGAAACTGAGGGAGAGAGAGCGGAGGGGAGAGTCTTTGAAGAGTCCGGGACGGGAGCATCTCTGAGGGGCCGAGAGGAAAGACGAAGAGACAGAAGGGGAATAGAGAGGGAGAAGGAGGGAGCTGTTCATTTCTGAGCGAGATACGCTCCTATGGTGAAGCCCACGGCCCCCAGCGCCGCCAGGCTGAACACGGTCACTATGGACGGCCAGGAACTGCTGAAAACCGACTCCTTCTGCCGGCCGTACAGATCCACGAAGGCGTCCTGGGAGAGACAGACAGAGAAAAGGACAGAGAGAGGTTTAGTTTCGAGGATCTCTGAAAAATGCAACTGATTTCAATACTTCTGCCTCAACAGCTGCCCCATCCTGAGACTTACAGATCAGTGACACATGTACTGTGTTATTATTAAGTTAGAGGGAATGAGGAGTCTAGTCCACGAGTTTAAGGGCTGAACTAGACGTGCTGATATTCAATATCAGCTATCTAGAGCTGGGGTTCTCAACCTATTTATTATTAGAAAACTTGAAGGCCTAAGCATGAAACTTTTTCTCCCTTTAGACCAGTTGGAAAAATGAAATCCGGAGGAGCTAACTGGCTAATAAACAGCAGGCTAATGCAGAGTTTGGAGTGAACAGGTTTTCTGTTCCGTACAGAGAAACCTGCTGAACTGATTGTCCATTGTAATCAACCGTAAGACAGGGTGCAGCAGACTGAAATAAGCTGGCGTATATCTTTAAAGGTGCAGTGTGTGAGATTTAGTGGGCTCTATTGGCAGAAATGGAATATAGTATACAAAACCATGTTTTTATTAGTTCATAATCACCTGTAACTACAAATCATTTATTTTTTCACTGATTTCTATGACCAAGTGCCATCACTACTGACCCCTCAGTATTTGCACGAAGACCACAAATGGGTGCTTAGCGGCCCACTCGTGGTCCGTGGCCCAGTGGTTATGAGTACCAGATGTTAAGACTAAGACGCTTTTGGGGAAGTGCGCCCTGATCAGCTGCGTTACATATAATTTCCTAAGATAGTCTGAGGAAATGATACGTAAGACTGTAAGAGTAAGACTTCTGCACACTGCTGTGAATGCAAACATGTAGCTGTGACCCATCTAAAATTAAAACAGGGGTCATGTGCTGAAAGCACACTAATTTGGGCCTTACATTGCAAAAAATGATATTTTGGCAAGTGAAATCATCTTAAATATGATCAATATATCTAATATTACTCACTTAGAGACTTTTTTAATCAGTCAACTTTTGTTTAACCTCAGACAGCATCGAGGGTGAGCCTCATTTACAGTGTTGCCGAGCTGATACAGGAAAAAGGGGTCGATGATGTGTGAGAACATATCAAATAATACAAGTAAATTTAATAATAAACATGACTCAAATCAGACAAGTGTTAAAGAAATGAAACATTAATAATAAAAGCACAAAAAGGTAGAAAATAAAACAATAATAAAAGTGTAACCAAAATGGAAAAGTTAATAAAAACAAAAGAATATAAATAAAACAAAAGGAGGACATGAGCAAAAAAGAGAAACTAAATTTAATTAAAATGACTGAAATAATAATAAAATAATCATATTTAAAACAAGAATAAAAATATGAATAATAAAAATAAACAAATAAATAACCAGGATAAATTGATTCATTATTTAAACTTATTATAAGATTATTTAACTTCTTTTTAGACATTTTTTACTTGTTTTAAGTGATTTTGGTTAAATTATCTCACCATATTGGCAGAAAAGTTTGCTTGTTGTGAGAAATCTGCTCAAAACAAAAGATTATCTGCCCAAATACTGAGATAATTTGACTAAAATCACTTAAAACAAGTAAAAAGCATCTAGAAATGAGTTAAACAATCATATAATAAGCTTACAAGATGAGAAATATTAGATATGTTGACAAGATTTCAAACAATTTCTTGCCAAGACACCATTTTTTGCAGTGCATTATCCACAGCCCACTGAACCTCCTGCCCCCTGGTGGCAGGTATGTGCAGTCAGTAGGCCCCTTAGTGCTCTCCTCTGAGTTTAATGATGTGAACAAAGCAATCTGGGGGGTCTTCACAGAGAGGCCTGGAGTTTAAAGAACCTTCTGGCTGCTGGCCAGAGCATGCTAGCACATGCAGGAGGCCAGAAAGTACCTGATTAAAAACACGGGGGGGTTGTGTGGACCACACTGCATCACGAGTAACTCATACAAAACAGCCTCAACAACAGCCTCAACAACAGCCTCACACAGCGCAGGTTTCCTTCAGTTCTAACACCATTTCTGGTTTCGACACTAAAATGGAAAGTTCTTTAAAGCCCAGGAAAGAGGATGTCCGCTCGATGCGGCCACAGCTGGCCCGAGGAAGGCTCATCCTAAAAGGAGAAGCTTTGTCTTTGGCAGGATGTCTGAAGTCATGCGGAGGGAGCAGTTCCTCTAGCGGGACGCTCTCTCTCTCTCTCTCTCTGGTCTTCTGCTGGAGACGATTACAACCTGATTACCTCACGTCTTACGTAACTGCGTTTACGTTAGCATAACCCTAACCTCCACGCTCTACATCACCGCCTCGGGTCGTAGCGGGAAGCGCCGGAGGAGCGTCTAATGGCCTCTGTTTATAGAAATCTGACTCCGCAGCTCTGCCGTCAGCTTTACACTGAATAGAAATAGAAATGAGGGCTTTCGTTACGGAGGACGCTGTCCTGCTCTTAGGCCCAGCGCTCCAAACGAAGTGATCGCAATTGGTTGGCGACAAGCTTAGAGTTTTCCCTCTTAACCCAAACGTAGACGATCAGCCAAAAACATGTTATTTGTCTGAAATTTGCTTCTTTAGTTTTGCACTCAAGCTAAGCCAACAATAGAGGCCTGAACTGCATGGCTACATCGCACCCTCAGCTCAAACTGCATGGATTTGCTAAGTGATCTCAAACAGACTGGCTTATGTGATTCTATACAGAACCATTTGCATGCTGAAAGGGTGGTTCTAAGTTCTATATAGCACTAAAAAGCATTCTTCTATTATGTTATGATGTCCAGCTTTTAGCCATAGAAGAACCCTTTTTGGTGCTATATACACCGATCAGGCAGAACATTATGAGCACCTCCTTGTTTCTACACTCATTGTCCATTTTATCAGCTCCACTTACTATATAGGTGCACTTTGTAGTTCTACAGTTACAGACTGTAGTCCATCTGTTTCTCTGATACTTTGTTACCCTGTTCTTCAGTGGTCAGGACCCCCATGGACCCTCACAGAGCAGGTACTATTTGGGTGGTGGATCATTCTCAGCACTGCAGTAACACTGACGTGGTGGTGGTGTGTTAGTGTGTGTTGCGCTGGTCTGAGTGGATCAGACACAGCAGTGCTGCTGGAGTTTTTAAACAGCTCAGTGTCGCTGCTGGACTGAGAATAGTCCACCAACCAAAAACATCCAGCCAACAGTGTCCTGTGGGCAGCATCCTGTGACCACTGATGAAGGACTAGAGGATGACCAACACAAACTGTGCAGCAGCAGATGAGCTATCGTCTCTGACTTTACATCTACAAGGTGGACCAACAAGGTAGGAGTGTCTAATAGAGTGGACAGTTAGTGGACACAGTGTTTAAAAACTCCAGCAGCACTGCTGTGTCTGATCCACTCAGACCAGCGCAGCAAGGAGGTGGTCATAATGTTATGCCTCAGCTGTGCTAACTCACTTTCCATCCATGAGCTAACGGATGGCTTGTTGGACAATGTTGACGAGTGCACCATCGCCCCCTACTGTAAGCTCCGCTTCATAAGGCCACCAGACATCCTGGTTAGGAGATCACGTCTGGGTCTGCAAGATGGCTCTTCAAGGGTTCTTTAGTAAAGGCAATGGTCCTGTTTAGTTCTATAGAGTTCTATATAGAGTTCTATTCAGAACTATTTGCATGCTTAAATGGTTCTTTGCTCGGCACATTGATCTTCAAACTGATGCAGCATGTATTGTATATGGTTCTATAGGGAATCTTTTTGAAAATGGTTCAATAGAGAACCAAAATAGGGTTCTTCTATTGTTATAAGCTTGACATGATAGCAATAGTGGAGCCCTTTTCGGTGCTAAATAGAACGATTTTCAAAAAGGTTCCCTATAGAGCCATATAAAACACATCCTGCATCAATCTGAAGAACAAGGTCACCATGCAAAGAACTATGTAAGCATGAAATGGTTCTATATAGAAATCATGGTTCTAAATAAAACTAAAGAACCCGTGAAGCGTGAGCTAAAATCAGTAGCAGCAGCCATTCTGAAGCCTGAAATCTGCCCGTAATTGTGTCTAATGCAAAACTAAAAACTTTTCGTCAAAGTAGTCGGATCCAGAGACTGCAATTTGCGCTCACTTCTAGCCTTCATAACTTCAGAACGGTTTAAGATACAAACATGATCCACATATCAGGACATTCAGCAGACCCGCCCCAATTAGCATGACGTCATCAAGCTGTGAGTTCAGCATCAGTGAGTAATTCGGCTCGGAAAATCACCTAAAATCTTGATATTATTGCTCGGCTGTTTGGCCTTCATATTCCAACAAAGGGTTAAAACAGTGACATGATTCACACATCAGATCACTCATCAGACTCTGCCTCACCATCCACAGTGATTTCATCCACCTGTGACCGTCCATCAGCCAGAGATCCAGCTCCAAAATCACCCAAACCCACTCGCTACTGTTATATTACATCTCTGCTTTCAGCCTTCATATTATAAACAAAGGGTTTCAGTTTACATTGATTTTGAGTATTAAAAATATCTTATATTGAATATTAAATAGCTCAATTTGTAATTAAAAATGAAGCCTGTCTTGCTGTGTATCAGAGTTTTAGCGCTCAGCCTGAATCCAAGAGGACAGAAAATCAATAAAAACATGTTTGCCTTATGCTAATTGTTTATTTTTACTCATAATAACTAACAGAATGAATCACCATCAAAATTATTGCACTTTCAGCTCACAGACACTCCAGAATAACAATTTCTGAAAAGATAACTACAACTGAGCTTGTTTTCAAGATCTCTATTATTAAAAAAATACAAAATTTAGCAGGTGCTAGGTACATTTTTGATCAGAAATGACCCAAATTCATAAAGATATTAAATTTCTGTCAGCATTTACATGTCAAACAATGGCATATCTGAGTAGCCCAGGGTCTCCTGAGAATAACAACATGTGCCATGTGTGACTGTCACATGTAAATACTTTATAATGGTAATTGTAATTGACCCAAAATATACCAAAAAA